TTGAAATGCTTTGTTTACATCTAAATGACAATAATGCATTAAGAGATATTTGTGATATTTTACATCTCTTGCATTTGAGATTTACAAACATATTTAATACGCATCAACTTATGTTTGTAAATATTTTAAACTTAATAACTTACAATGTTAAAAAAAATCTAAATTGGAAATACCATTAATTATGAAAAGCTTTGACCAATTTACTACCAAAATTATGTTGGAATATATATGTATTACATAATAAGGAAAATATATTATGTGTGTGTATATAAAGACACATACACAAATCCAAAACAATTAGTTTTGTAAGTAATATATTATCCGAAAACAAGGAGGAAAGGTATATTAATTTTTATATTTTATTAATTTTCATAAAAATAATTGACAACTATCTATTGAAAAAGCTTAAAATTTTCTCTCTTTCACGAAATATTTTTTTTATTATAACTCTCGTTTAAAATCTTATTTTTTGTTTATTTTTCAAAAGGATATTCTAGCAAAAAAATAGTGTTTGCATCTTCTAGAAACATAACTAATGACAATCAAGAAGTCTTCATCTCTTCTCTTACCTTCGTTGATGGTGATTTTTCTCATTCTTTCACCTTTGATTTCAGGTAATACATTTATTATTTACGTGTTCTCAAATAAAAAGAAACATATATTTTGTTACAATTTAAATTCTCTAAAAAACTATGATATTTTTATCGATTGAATCAAAGTCACAAAAATTTGTTTGTATTTTAATTTGCTATTTACATTCTATAATATTGAATGGATCATTAACCTAATATTGTTAATGTCTTTTGGAATCGAATAGGACAAAGCCGCATATGTTTAGGCGGTTGTAGTAGCATGGCAGAATGCACGGCAAGATGCAAATCTACAATTTACAAAAGAGGAGTTTGTCGAAAGTATTTAACTCTATCTTTATGTTGCTGCTACACAAGTTTTGAATCTCCATATGAGTCTCCTATTGCTAATCGTTTTAATTATTAATATGTCATGGCTCCATATTTACCCTTA